GGAAATTATTTTCTTTGATAGTTAATTAGGATTTAAATAAAATAATAAAATAAAAAATATGAAATCTAATTTGCTTTCCATAATATCGTTAAGATGGAAAATTACAATTTAATTCGCATTTAATTTCGAAAACCATAATAAACTACTCCAATTTTGTCCGCTTTGTTTTAATTACTTTGATAATTCAGAATACTTGGTTTAACTACTTGATGTAATTGCAATCAGCGTTTGAATACCTAATTCATTCATAGCATAAGAACTTGAAATAAAAAGCTTAATAAAAACGAATAACTCAATAAGAGTAATCAAAGTCAGCGAATTGCTCTCTGATTAGAGTCACTTAGCGTTATTCTTCAAATTAGTTATAATAGGAAGAGCAAAATAATTAACTGCATGCAACTCAGACAAGCAGTAGATCCATACTCTAAAGCAAAACGCATTCAAATAAGAGACAATTACGTAGAAAAAAACATATTAAATAGTTGAATTTTCAAAGAGCCTCCCACCCTGGAAAAATAAATAAATAAATAAATAGAAAATAGTTAATATAGAAAAGACATTTACGAATTATATCTATAAAATAAAACGAAATTTCCAAACTATGAATGTGGATAAAGGTATAAATCATGGGTAAAATTAAGAGATTTTTTTTAGATACCAGTAACGCTTTAGAAAAAAAGTAAGATTTTAAGAATAAATTAAATATTAAAAAAATATTGTTAAGGGACGCGAAAAAATTATTAAGCATCAAAGCACATAATATATGTTGTTATAAATATCTTTCTAAATTACAATAATGAAGCAATAGTTTCTAAAAACTAAAAATTAACTATTTTATTATAAATTACATAACTTAAATGTATTGTAAGGAACACTATTTAAATTTAATGAAATAAAGATATAAACAATTACGAATTACATAATTGCTTTTTAATTTTCTGAGCCAGGTGCTCCTAGTATAGCGTCATATAACACATAAATAAAAGTGTAAAAAATTGTAAAATTAAGCTACAGGTGTTTTTAAGATCAAAACTATTAAATAATCCTGTATATACATAAGTGTTCAAAATCAAAAGAATGTTTATATTTGATTGATTACCTTAAGAAATCATTCGCATAAGGATATATGCACCTAAGCTAATATAATACAAAAACATACCGTAAAACACATGGCAAACAGGCATGATCGTATATAAAAATCACCGGCGCAAAAAGGTATAAAAATTATACTGCAATATCAAACAAAAAAAGGATGCTAATAGGAGGTATGGTTTCATCTATCATTTATATACTTTTCAGAATATGATTACGTACTTGAAATAAGGTAGTTGATAAGTCCGTGTAGTAGATGGTGCTACTTCTGAAGCAATGCTGCTGTCAGGTCCTGAAGGGTCTGAGAACAGGAAGACGAATGCAACTGCTTTGCCAAAAGCATGAAAGGCAAGATATGTTCTATAGGATCCTGTAGCTCGATTTTGCCATTCGATCCGATTAATGTCCTCAGTTTCTTGTTAAGCCATAAAAATGGATTTAAGGCCAACTGAATCCCTGAAAAGGTAAACATAAGGATCTACGATTTCTTCTTTATAACCCGCAGCGGTCATAGATTCTGCATCAAAGACATGAGGGTCAAACGTGGTACATTCTCATACCGTCCGTCAAGCGAACGCTGCTATAACTGTCTCTTTCTTGAATGCTGGCGGACAAGTAACGAGTCCGTGCTTGTCTCTAAATGAAGGTAACGTCGAAAGTTAATGCTTAGGCTGTATCGGGACTCATCTGCAAAACAAACAGTCTCCCACTGATGCTAGACCCGAAATGGATGTTATATGCACCAACTGTGTCTCGCAGACGCGACAGAGACACATAGAGTAGATCTTATTACAAACATACATGATCTTGAGGATATTAACCGATTGTAATGACCAGCTAAATTTTCAGGTCCAATTGCTGTACATCATGTCTGAGACATTGTCGTGAGTGGCTGCAGTTGGTGTTCTTCCCCAGAATCTTCTAGAACCTGAAAACAGTATTGTAAAAGTGACACCGACTATCGCGGGGACTATCGATAGCCTCATTTCCAGTATGAAATCACGCTATAAGAGAAACAGGATTGAAAAAGTGTGCCATATCTCTATTCGTCTCCTTTATTTGTTCGATCTTGCAATCTTTGTTTAAGACCTTCTAAAGTTGATGAGCTTTATGCATGTGTACCATGACTGTTGTACGAAGATTTCTTAATTATATCATAAGTGTCCATTGCATTAAAATCTGAATCGATTCTGAAGATAATTTACTAAATGTGAAAATTCTGTTAGTTTAAAACATTGATAATATATAAAAAATTAAGAAATTTTATCCAATTAAATTAATATCACTTATGTGAATCGTGTAATTTATTTATATAATCCAATGGACCCTTGGTTGAGCAAAACTTTATTGATAATTGAACAAACAAACAAAGAATAAACAAATGTATTCTTAAAGATGCAAACGACATTCACTACCTGATATCTTTTGAACAAAGAGTTAAGTTCATATTTGAAAAATAGAAATTTAAATAAAAGTAAAAAATTTACTTTACTTTTGAAGGGCTCCTACGGAAATATAATTGTTGCTAGTCTGAAATCTAAGTAAGATGAAATGTTGCAAAGATATAAACAGAAGTTATTTACTAGTTTTACAGAGTTTAAAAAATACAACTTTAGATGTTAATGTAGTGTATGCAGAGGAAGATATTTCATTATAAACAGAAGAAGTTAATTTACTATTTACAGAGTTACAAAAATACAAATTTAGATGTTAATGTAGATCATGCAGAGTAAGATATTTCATTAATTAATTTACATCGCATAGTGAAATTAAAAAATATAAAAATATAAAATGAAAGGGTTCAGATTTTAATTTATGAAGGTATTTTACGCTCTCGCTGAACTAGGAGTTTACCAATCTGCTAGCGGATCACTCCTCCTAATACATTTTTTTTAACTTTATAATTAAACAATGCTTTTTTCACTCCTACGCTACATAAATGTCAGTGTAAAAATTAAGAAATTTTCACAGCAGCATATTTTTTTAATTCCTGACACACTGTTCAGTGTTACCATGCATTTATTTCTTTTCTTTTCTATGGGCTTAGTTTTACAAGTAAGAAGTCCACACAAACCTTTTTTTAACTTTAATTATTAACCTTTTAACTTTTAATCTTTATTTATTAAATATCACTTTCTTTGCAATTAGATCTCATAAAATTCAATCAAAACAGCACATCTTTAGATTTCCCAATAGAGTGTTAAGTGTCACCATACCTTTTTTTATAATCCCTATATCATTTCTTTAAAAATAATATATGGCTATAACACTTTGTGGTAATATTTGAAAAGTTATATAAAAAAGTGATTAGGACAAAAATGTGAGGATCGAGACTAATAGCACCTCTGGCGTAAAAAGATAACAAAAGAGTAGCGTATCAAACTAAAAGTGATTAAAGTCACCAAATTTTCCTTGATTAGAGTTACTAGAAAACACATTGTATCTTGTGGATCCATTAATTAATCTGATTTAACTTAAAGAGCCAGTGAATTCACACACTGAAGAAATGCGTCAAGACAGGCAAAAATTATACTTTTGAAGATAATTCACATGTAGATTAGACGTAAAGAGGTAAATTAAGGTTTATGACATTTCCGGAAACCAATAATGGGAATTGTACTCGGTAGGATTAGTAGCCAGCCTTCACGTTATTAAGAAAATTATCAAAGGACACTCTTTCATGAGAATTCTTCGAGTAATAATGAACTAGTGGGTCTAACAGTGTAAGCAAATATCTTCACTTCCCAATCCAATTCTAATAACTTCTCATCTGCGCCAGAAGATATAATTTGGTAATAATGTACCGTAATTTTATGCTGAATTACCAAATCTACTAGAATATTTTTGTTTACATTGCCCTGATTTCAAATTAGCAATGACTCTTTATACTCACTTAATCAAAACAATGGTAGTGGCTGATTACAAAAATTTATTAACTTGGTATATTATTTAAACTTAATTAAAAATATATTATCTTGTTTGTGTTATGGTAATTATCTCGAATTAAATTGTCTAATTGATATTTTGAGCATATTTCTCGGATAAATATTGGTTTAGGTTTAGGAGGTTATATAAAGGTTTATGAGATTTAGTTCACGAATCATCAAGATTAGCAATCTTCTAAAAATGTTCTACTATAATCATACCAATCAAAAACTAAGACAATACATAGACCAAACACCTCTCTAAGATGATAAACCTTAGTTTCAAACAGTTTTGATTACATCTGCACACGTAGTCGCTTTAGAAAACAGGACTATCGGTGTGGTTTAATAAGCATGACTACCGATGTGTAATTGGTCTTAGAAAATCTGGTTGTTTTTTAAAGGTAATCATCTTTGAGAAGTGGTCGGGGTAAGAGGTTTCGTTATCTATGTTTTCGGAGAGAGCAAATATGAAAATTCAGCAATGTCCTCACCGGATTTCGAACTCCAGTCTTCGAACTGCTAGCTGGGTATGCTTTCCGATTACAACAAGAAAGATAGCGGTAAGGAGAGAGAAAATGCCTTACATTCGCCTTCATAAAGAACGAATGAGCAGGAGGGGGGAGACAATCGTTAAATTCTCGTGGCGACGAATTATCGTCCACGATTTTGTGGTTCGGGCGCCACTGTTGAGACTTTATGTTTGTTTCGAAGTAGCAAACGTGGAAGTAGCGTAATTCAAATTCTTCACCTTCCGATTAATAGCCAGAGTGGCAATTACACCATGAAAGCACGCGGTAAGGAGCGAGAAAATACCTTACACATGATGCTGCGTAAGTAATGAACTTTTAATTGTATTCGGCAAGACGACGATAATTCTATATTACATAATTGTCTATGTTGTAGTTCCCTATCCAATAATGTAGTATGGCATAAGTTTTGACACACTGTGGATAAAATATAATATTTTGTTTTTCTTTGCAGGAAATTGCGATAAATTATAACTATTCGGCTAACGATGGAACAATGAATGAAAATAGTGCAATGGATTTGATAAGAGATGAATATATCTAAAAACGTTCTGACGCATCTTCAGTAATTAATATCAAATATGTCAAATGGTTTGTTGGAGTGTTCGCGGATGAGTTCAACTGATATGAACAACATCGGGCATTTCCAATATGTTTTCAAAAGTTTGTATTTATAACTGAAGCATCGTATCTATCTTCCACTAGGGTAGTCGATGTAATCAGTTTTTGTTTCGTAAACATTCATTTCTAGCAAAAGAGCATATTTATGCCTCTCTTTATATATTATGTTCAGCTGTTCCTATTACACTCTGTTTCTATTTAAAATACATCGAAATTGGCTACCATGATGTCCACACTATATTTCCCTTATCTGAAATACACTTTGCAAAGAAAAGCTATCAATAGGAATGATATCGATAACCGTGAAATCTCTATTCATGAAAAAAAAAAAAAAAAAGCACTATTAGGCATCAGACATTAAAACAATGTGACTGATAGTCATTTAACATGCCAACAGAAAACATCTCTTCTAAAGATCAAATAAAGCACCAACACGCTTCAGAATCTATTATCTTATGGAAAAGGTAATGAACATTCCTTTAACTGAAAATCACATGATTTGAATGGGTTATAGGCAAATAAATTCTGCTTTTCACGTGACATTATAAAATAAAGTATTCAGGTATATATTTTCATGTCGCATTTTATTTAGAATCAATATTATAATCACGTAGTTTGAGAAGCTATGAAATCAGTTTAAATGAATATGTTCTATTTATTGCCTTGCAATAAAATATAATTTAATGCAAGTCAGTAATTATACTATATATATTCATTTAATTTAACTCAGTAACAACAATTGCATACCAGTTTATTTTCATCACATATCATTAGGAAAATTAAAAAAAAAAAAAAAAAAAAAAAAAGACCAAATATCGCGCTAACTATAGTAAAGCTCTTTCAACCGGCATTCAGTTAACCGGCAATATCAAAATAATTGCACTTTTGGTGATCTAAATTCAAATCCCAAATTTAGGCTTATGATATAAAAATATATATAACGGGCTAAATTTACCTTTTTGCCGGTTAGACGAATAAGCCTGTACAACCAATGGATCAAGAGATTATCTAGAACATTAGGATGAACTACTGATACCTTTCTATGCACCAGTGACTTTGGAGGTAGTGTCCATAATTTCCAAAAGCAATTTCCCATTGAGAAGTAGTAGATTTATTTTGTCTTTTGCTTAGGAAGATGTAAAAAACATTCCTTTACGTCACTGTTGGGATAAATTGTGTCTTATGATCATGTTTGTAGAAGATGAATCGAATGACGAAGATTCTCTTTGTTTTAAAACACGTTCGGCGCCCATGGGCGACATCTTGGATTTAGTTACATGCTCGGAAAAAGTTAGTAGTAATAAGAAGGTGGGTGTAGGTTTTGCGTGAAAACCTATACAATTATGTTTCCTTCACATTCCCTCAAGATGACGACGAAAGAATCGTTCATGTATTGAGAAAGAGGAAGATGTTAATGATGATGAGGAGGATGAAGATAAAGACTATATAGTAAAGTAAGAAAGTTACGTGGAAAGAAGGTGGCGAAAGATTGCAGACTTTCATAAGATCTGCCGTGAAATAATCATATATGTCAGTGCATGATGTTGTGAAGCTTCACTGTATACACTATTATAATTCGTAACTTTCATTTGATAATACATATGATAATTTTAAAATGTTGTAGAATTTTAATTTTCTGAAATATAAAATTCAGTCTCTGTGCTTTAGTTTTACATAATCTATATGATTTTTATATTAATTATTTAATTGTGACCGTTACATCGAAGACATGATCTACTTGATTTCGCATGTTGCAGTTGCTATAGGCGGCAGCACAAGGCATAAAAAAGAAAGTTCTAGAAATACATATTCAATTATCCAGAATCGGCAAGGTCCCGTTGCTGTTGGAATGTTGTTGTGTATATATATTCTCCATTCACAGAAAGAAGAAGAGATTATGTATTTGGGAATTACATGAGTAAAAATGTTTGAAATAGAAATGTATTTCGTGCTTAGACAAATAATACACTCCTTTTGTAAAAATAAGAATGTCTTGAACTTTTTTAAGGAACCAAAAATAATATTTCAAGTGTCTCTAAAGTTTTGTTTCAGCAAAAATTGCATAATATTTGTTGAAATCAGAAAGGATAAAGAAAACAAATCTTCATTCGCATTGCAATCAACACACAGGCCAACAGGAAGGAGGACAACCCACTAAATCAACCGAGCTGTAAAAGCACTTAGTCGTAATAGTTGAAGATCTACAGCACAAATTGGAATCATGTACAAAACTAAGTTTAATATGTATAACAAATATACTATTTAAACTATATGACAAGCTAAATTAATAATAGATTTTATCAGCTATTCCCGAGGCGATGAAATCTAACTTAAACTATCACTTATCTTAATTAAAGACATTATTTAAATTTGTCATGACCACGCGAGGTTCGACAACTCATTCTAATAGTTTAGCTGCCGTTATTAAATTAACATAACCGGCACGTCATCGGCGCTCAATCATCGCGTAACCAGAACTGCCGCAGGTCAGCAGCTAACAGGTGCTCCTGTTGTTACAGTTCTTTAACAGTACTACCGCTCTCTAAAGTCGCCAAATCTGCATACATGCGAATTATTGGGTATCAGATAAACAAGGCTAGCACACAGGCAAATAAAACTAATTTCATCGTTTAAATTTAAAATAAAACACGTTCATTGCAAATATTAAACTGTTTACAGTCGGCGTTTCTTCAGACATAGGTATCCAAATAATCGAAATAATTTTTCGTTAAAATCTGTTTATAACATCAACTCACATAAAAGTGAAGAAAATATAATTATTTTCTACCACATTTTTAAATATTCAGAAATAAGAAGGTAAAGTTTATCCCTCATTCAATAGCGAGAGTTATATCAGTGTGATACCTTTCGAAAACTTGTTTTCTGGAAAATTTGTGTTGCATTGGAATTAAATTTTCAACACGAACATGTCTGGAAATTGAAATTTTTATATTTACTTAGTCCAAATAGCATATAACACGAAGCTTTCCATGAAACGTTTCTTTTTGATCGAAGGAACTTGTATTTTTCGATATGCAGATTCGCCAAATTTATTCCACAGCTGTTTCAGAATAAACGTTAATTTGATAGGAAATTTTATTTTCTTGGTTAGCTGATTTTTCATAATAAAGAAAGGCTGGTAAACTTTTAAAAATTTTAAATTTATCAAAAGTCAAATGTTTTCAAGATATACCGGGCCTCCGCCAAAAACAAATATTTTTAGTTTATTAACCAGTTATTATGATCTGAACTTTAACTTCTTATTTCCGTAGTTCTCAACAAAATGCGAACTATTCATTGTGCACTTAGGGCTTTTAGAGCTTCTGGCAGCCTCGGCTTTTGCCAGCTCCGCCAAGAAGTAAGCAATTTAGGATTTAGTATTCGTAATGTAGCACAAATCCACAGGTTCAAAACTAAAACTCCAATCAAACTGTGATAATCTATATCACAGATTCAATTGGGAAAAACTTCACCAGTAGGCAAAATTTACGAATTAAAGTATTTCATGCTATTTTATGTTGAAATCGTTGAATACAAAGTGAATGGAAGTGTTGTGCAGTGTTTCAACTGTCAACACTTCGACCGCAGCTCTGACCGACGCAGACTTAAACTTTGCTGCGTTAAATGTGCGGGTTCGCACAAAACTTCTGACTGTGTTTCTAAAATAATTAATGAAGTAAGGTGTTGCAACTGTTTTGAAACTGGGCACACCGTCAATTACAGGAGGTGTCCGAAATTCCCAAAATTAATCAACAACAGATAGATATTGATAAGAAACCTACCCACGAAAATAACTCAAAAAGTGCTTTGGAAAATCCATGAGCAAGTCCAGGTATTTCCTATGCCAATGTAATTCAAAATCGTGGCAAAACTTCTAAAAATAAATTAAACGGAAATAAATCAGAAAATAAACAAAGTACCACACATGGTAATTTCAATAACACAGGTGTCAGTACATTTGTAGAAATCTTTAAATTATTCAAAGAACTAGGAAACATATTCAGAGGTCTCTCATTATCACAAATAATTCAGAGAATAGCGGCCGAAGTGCCAGAAATTCAGGCAACTGAAAATTCAATCAATAAGTTGTTTGTATTATTCAATTTCTTTGAAGAATTATTCATGTTTCAAAATGCCTAATTTTTATATGTATATATACTATATCTAAAGTACTAAAAAAACTCTATATTACAACTTTATGTAAGCAACTTTAATTATTATCTTCACTATTATTATACTTCTCGGCTTACTCTTTTGTTACCCCATGTTTAATCTCAACAAATATTAACACATTATCGCTATGTCTTGCTCGACATTAATTTCAGTTACACCATTAGTTGCTTACTTAAACAGTATTTTCTGACTAAGTGTACTTCTTATGTTTATATACTTTACTCATTTAGTTCCTATCACCAAAGGATTTGCACTTTCTAATAACTGTATCATTTATGCATTTCATTTTCAGTATTACTGCCATCAGTTCGAACGGCCCTCAAACCAGTTGCTTGTAAGGTTCTTTTCACGTCTACTGTACTTCTTGATTCCACATTAATTATTCCTAAATTTCTTAATAAATTTTATTCTCAGTATTGCATTATGTTAAATTTTCTGAAACCCTCAAAAGTTTACTCACATTTTCTATAATTTTGGCTGCTCATATCTTTATGAAATTCTCTTGTCTTGATTAATCCAACAATATTAGGAAAAGCACAATTATTCGATTAGGAGTAGGGCTTTCGGCACAGGTACCATGGCGAGGCACCATTCCCTCGTGAAACCAAAGTTATTTCAGCTTTAGCATCTTCTTAGCCGAGGTTTAAACTACGCGCCGTTAATTATTTTAAGCCAGCTTAAGTAGTCTATTGTGTGTGTAATTTAAAACCACACACACAACAGACTGCATTTCTACTATATTCTAATTTTAGATTCAGTAAAAAATGTCTAATTTAATTCTTTTGCTTGACTTAATATTGGAATTTTTAAGCTACGTCGGGGAGGATTGATAATTTTCAGATGAACTGTTATTAATTCAAAAAAACTTAAGAATAGTTCATCGGCTAATTCTGAATACAGATACGCGAGGGTTTTCAGTGGAAGAGGGATTGTAATTGAGTCTGATGTATCCTCCTCTTAATAACGTTACATCAGATTTAACTGAGTTCCTCTTCTTTACTTATTTTTCTGTTTTTGGTATACATTTTCAGGTTTTTAATATTTTTTAGGTTTTAATTTCACATTCCTTTAATTCTTATTTTGTATATTTTCAAGATATTTTGAAATTTATTTATTTTTAATTTCATTTTTGGGGGATCTTTGTGTAAAATAGGTTCTAAGTTTGTTAACTTGTCTAATAAGTTCTGAATTTCTTACTTTTTTTTAAATATTTTATTTTTACTTATATATACGTGTGCGTGTGTAAGAGTTTCAATATGCTATGAGTAAATTCATTTCAACAGAATTCTAACTTAACTACTTTATTTTCAAAAGGCATAATATATTCAATAATCTACAAGAAAGGAAATTATTATTTTATTACTTTGCAGCTTCAGCGCAAGTATTATTCAATTTATTACTAATAACTACTTATATATATATGTATATATATAAAGCGGATATTCCTTTTCTAATCGGAGAATATTACTTTTATGACGCTATTATTACCATACGCAGAAACAAGAGTTATTAAAATCTGCAACGCAAACGTGATTATGGTATGATTTGTGATATGATTTTGCTAATTCATATTCGACATTCGCCTCACGCGCTGGAGATAAAAATGTTTTTTCTGTACAACGTTGCCATTGCG